GCTATTCCTTTCTCTCCCCCTCCAGTGTCTATTTTATAATATAATGCAAGGAAAACCAAGATTCAAAAGACAACCAAGCATCTTAACATTATTCTCCCCTTGTCCCCATTCCAACCATGGTTCGATCTCTGTATCCCAGAAACCTGTTGTTCCCAGGTTGTGCCTATATCATTATTTACCTCTGTCCCACTTAGCCCATTCAGACCTGTCTAATTGTTCTCCCATCTGCTTTGTTCTTCCATTCCCCTCTCCCTACTTGTATGTTGCCCCCTCCCCAGCACCCAAACTATCCTGTGTCTAATCCCTGCCCTGTGCTCCACCTTTCCCTCCCTCTCCTCACCCACCCCCAAAATCCCAACAATCAACAAAGAATCTCCCCTACCCCCCTTTAGTATGGGTTCTTTCCCTTAGTCTTTTATAGTAGTGATCCTATGCAGTATTTCTCTTTTTATGACTGACTAATTTCACTCAACATAATGCCCTCAAGGTTCATCCATGCTATGCGGTGGTTTGCAGCTTCCTTGTTGTTCTTCAAGGTAGCATAGTATTCCATTGTGTGTATGTACCACAGTTTGTTTATCCATTCTTCAGTTGATGGGCACATTGGCTGCCTCCATCTTTTTGCTATTGTAAATAGTGCTGCTATGAATATTGGTGTGCATATATCTTCTTGGATTGTGGCTCCTTTTTCTTGTGGGTAAATACCAAGTAGAGGAATTGCTAGATCATAAGGTATTTCTATTTTCAACTTTCTGAGGAAACGCCATATTGCTTTCCAGAGAGGTTGAACCATTTTGCAGTTTGGGCACTGTTTTGTGTGCTAGGGGAAGCTGCCAGAAGATCTGTTTGTCAGGAGAGGAAGGCATAGGAACGATGGTGACACACCCCTAGAGAAGATTAGAAGGCAAAGGTCCAGCAGGCCAGCAGAAGTTCATAACAGCTCAGAATGGGAACAGTGTGTTTAGACTAGACAACATCATAGAAGAGGGAAGTCTGGAACATGTTCCAAAGTACCTTGTAGGGAAATTAGATAGAATATTGGAAGATGAGATGAGAGAAAGCAAAGCTTCAGAATGACCTAAGTTTCTTGGTATTGAAACTCAGCTGCTGCTGAGGCTATGGTCTGGGTTGGGGGCTGGCAGGCCAAGGTGGCAGAGAACAGATAGGAATTTGTTCTCAGGTATGGTTATCATCACCTGGAAATGTTGGCAAAGAGCACTGCAGACCCCTGCATTGTAATTAAGTCCTAGAAGATTTCTAGGCACCTGAAAGTTTAAGAGGTGCTGACCTGGGTGATACTGGGATCACTAGGCTGGAAGCAGAGAGAAGTTACAATTACAGAGGGGTTCATGGAGCTGCTAAGAAGACCCTCTGTAGGAGAAGAACATAGTGTGAGAAAAGAGGATTTTAGATTTGACAATTTAAGGGGAGGGCAGTGCAGAATCAACAAAAGCATTGAAGGACTAGCCTTAGAGAGAAACAGAATCTGAATGGAAATACTCCTTCCCAAAGATACATCAACTCGTTATTTTTCCACAAATATCTTTTTTTTTTTTTTTTATCAGTAGCATTCTTAGATTTAAACTCTCTTAGACTAAAACTCTCTCTCAATTGTTGGACAAAAAAAAAATTAGTCATTGATAGTAAAATGCTATGAAAAGAACAGTAAGAAAATAACTTACTTGTGCTATCAAATTATGGTCAAGTTCATATGCTATTCGGGGCTCACTCAGGAATACTGATGTGATGGTACTGTCTTGAGAAGAGTCTATAAAACCAAATATTCTTGTTTTATGATCACTTGAGAAAGATGTTTCACATAAACATGTATGTGTGAGGAGCATTGAGAGCCTTATGCATTTCTCCCTGAATGGTACAAACGTTTGACACACTCACTGTTAGTGAAAAGGTTGGAGCTTCAAGTTCCCTCAGAGCCACCTTAGAAAAAAGACCTTCAGAAAAGTCAGCTATTGAAAATCCTATGGAGTACAATTCTTCTCTGACACACATGGGGTTGCTATGAGTTGAATCCATTCAGCAGCAGCTCGGACAGGTACTTTTCCCCTTCATGAACCAGAGGAGTTATTTTGATAAGTTTCTATTGATGATAGGCCCCTTTGTTGAAAATATACACTTCTTGGGAGACTTTCTCACAGCCACCAGTGAGAAAACATTTCCCTTTTGGCCAACCTCTTCTTCTCTCCTAAAGGAGGGTGTTTAAGTGTGTATTTGTTTAGTTGGAGAGTTATCTTTGCTATAATAAATAATCTCACCCAATGTGGAGCCTTCACTGATTCTTTAATATGGACAATACAGGTGGTAGATTATCCATGTTAAATGAAGTGGTCCAAATGTTCTGCTTCCTGTCTGGTAAATGGGGGAGCAGACAGTGTTCTGTTCTGAGGCCTGAGAGGGTGTGGGAGTATGTCACTCTTCATGCTCAAGGCAGTGGTGGGAAGACCAGTAGTGACCACTCTCATGGTTACAGTTGGTGAATAAGTGGAGTTATCATATTTGCTCTCTAGGCCTTCACTAGAGCATGTGAGTAAAAAAAAAGTGAACAATTGTATTTCAGGGCTGCATTAATAAATACCACAAACTAGGTGGCAAAACTTTATTGTCTCACAGATTTGGAGGCTAATAGTCTGCATACAAAGTGTTTAGATGAGACAGTGGCATAGATGAAGGATATCATGAACACATTCCAAAACCACTTGAAAGAAAACTGGACAGCTTATTGAAAGATGAACATGAGACAAACCAAGGACTTGGAATGACCCATGGTCCTAGGTACAGAAACTGTACTGCTGCTGAGGCCACTATGTCAGTAGAACCATAGTTTCTCTGAAGACTCTAGGGGAATATTATTTCTTTTTTCTCTCAATTTCTGGTGACCCCAGGGGTTCCTTGGCTTGGGGCAGTAAACTCTAATTTTCATCTTCATCTTCACATGGCCATCTTCCCTCTGTGTCGCATCTCTCTTTTTATCAAGATACCACTCATGCTGGATTAGGACCCACCTTACTCCAGTATGACCTCATGTTTACTTCATTACATCTGCAAAGACACTGTTGCCAAACAGGGTCACATACACAGGGGCCAGGAGGGTTAAGATTTGAGTATATCTTTTTTAAGGACCCAGTTCAACCTGTAATAGATTATAGCAAACAGTGGCAACCTGGAAGCTATGGGGACTCTGAAAGTCTATCACTTTTCATGCCACAGTCATGGGCCTGCTGCTGTTGTCACCTTGGGCCAAAGGTAGGCAGGCCTCTGACTTCCCTCACCAAATGTTACTTGGTAAATGAACAGGGCTATCACAACACTCCCCAAGGTTTCGATTCAACAAAGTCAGTTATTATATTGTACATGGAAAATTATTTAGTGGTATTTTTCACTGATAACACTGATGAGTGGCTTTTATTATTATTATTATTTATTATTATTATTTACAATTGTCTACATTTCAAGGGAAGCCATTGGTTTAAACTCATCCTATGCACAGAATCTGTGTGCCATTTACTGACTATCAAGATAACTTCTGGGAAGTCCAGTTTGCAACTCAACTTTTCCTTTTAGCATGGCAGTTTCTTAGAATTCAATACACCCACATACATATAAACAAAAGTGAATTTGGTCACTTTTGTCAAATGCTTTGTCTTTAAGTTAAATATTCCAGGGATGTGCTAGGAAGCTATACTTGTATACAACGAGAAAGGATTGTAACATTTTAAGACATCAGAGTCCTTGTGTGGACTTATAGGATAATTACTGGACTGCTAACCAAAAGCTTGGCAGTTCTAACTCATCAACCACTCTTCAGAAACCCTCAGCAGGGTTTCTGTGAGGCAGAACCAACTCAACACCACTTAACAGCAGGAATAACAGTGAGGGAAGCAGTCCTGTGCTAATAAAAGAAATGTACCTTGTGGCTTTGGTTTTCTTTACCTGATGTCCTGACCTTGTTTTTCCACAGCTGGTTATCTCCGTATATGCCCTCTTATTACTGTCAAGGGAAGAAGCACACATGGCAAGTGGTATGTCTGACGTGGCCAACAACCTGCCCTTCTTTTTTGGCAATATCACCCGAGAGGAGGCAGAAGATTACCTGGTCCAGGGTGGCATGATCGATGGACTCTATCTGCTGCGCCAGAGTCGCAATTACCTGGGAGGATTTGCTCTGTCCGTGGCCTACGGGAGGAAGGCACATCACTACACCATCGAGCGAGAGCTGAATGGGACCTATGCCATTGCAGGTGGCAGGACTCATGGCAGCCCTGCTGAGCTCTGCCTTTATCACTCTCAGGAGTCTGATGGTCTCATCTGCCTCCTCAAGAAGCCTTTAAACCGACCTCCTGGGGTACAGCCTAAGACTGGACCCTTTGAAGACTTGAAGGAAAACCTTATCAGGGAGTATGTGAAACAGACATGGAATCTGCAGGTAAGCCATCTGCTGGTGTTTTTACTATGGTTGGTTCCAATGTGTTCAGGATCCCTTTAAATTCCAAATGGTAACCATTCATATAGTGGGATCTCTAATATGCTAGAACCGACTCTACGGCACATAACAACAACAACTAATATGCTACCATCTCCTTGATTATCAACTTTGCCCTAAATTTGGCTTGCATAACAAGCATCTTTTTTCCTTTGAAAGCACAGTTGAGAGTATGTATGTATAAAGAAACAAAGAATTTGTTGCCATCCAGTTAATTCTGACTCATGTGGACTCCATGTATTACAGAGTAGTAGAGCTGCTCCATAGGATCTGCTTGACTGTAATATTTACAGAAGGAGATTTCCAGGCCTTTCTTTTATGGTGCAGCTGTGTGGTTTCGAACTACCAACCTTTAGTTTAATAGATGAGCACAAACCATTTGAGCATCCCGAGTGTAAGTCCCTTAATGCCATTATGTAGGTTTCTCCATCAAAGGAAATCACTGTTACCCAGTTCATGGTGTTCCCTTTCTGAGAGGCATCTATAGATACCTGTTTTTATTAACCTCACAGGAATCCTGCTATGCAATCTGATTAATGCTTGATTTTATAACAATATTGCCTTTTGCAGAGCATTCCATATCAGCACACACATAGCAATGTCAGCCCTCTGCTGCTTTTTGTCTGTACTTTTATTAATTGATGTCTATTGAAGCACACTTTCATTGTTTACAAATAATGTTGCTATTAAGTAAGGACTGATGATCTGCTTCTGTAGTGATTACAGACAAGAAAAACCTAGGGAGCAAAGTTCTACTCTCTAATACAGGGGCTTGTCAGGAGTTGTAATTGAGTCCTTAACGACTTACAACAGCATGCTAAGCTTTTATTACAATACTGCAGGGTAAACTTTGAGTGGGTTGGGTTCACCAAGTTAAAGGACGGTTTGTATTTTATGTGGATATATATTGACAAGTTCCAATCCTGAAAGATTGCAGATGTTGTAACAATTTACATTCTTGCCGCATTCTTAATGGTATTTAGCATCCTAAGTCAACAGGTTTGCTTGACAGTATCTTGCCTGGGTTAACCATTTCTCTTTGCATATCTCAGATGTATGTTCAATGCATTTTTGCTGTTTGAAACTACCAGCTGTTCCTCGGGAGAAAGTGAGGCTTTCTGCTCCCGTAAAGATTTACAGCCTTGGAAACCCTCTACAGGGTCACTTTGAGTCAGAACTGACTTCACAGCACACAACAGCAACAACAAACAGATTTATAACCGTATAGATTGTAGATTACATATAGTGACTCCTTTTATACTTTTAATATTGTCTGTCTTAAGATTATGAATTCAGTATTTTCATTGGCATCTAATGACTATTTTTGAGACTATCCTTTAACTTATTTTTTCTATTAATTAGGCTTTATTTTTAGAGCAGTTTCTATTTGAAAAATATAGTGAAGAAAGTATACACAGCTCCCATATAACCTTTGCCAGGGGCCAGCCCGACACTCTTATTGGAGGGGTGGGGGGGTGTCTTGGAGGGATGCATAGCGTCGGCGAAGAAATGAAGCACAAGATCAATGGGTCTTGATGAATGGTGAATCTTCTCCTCTCACATTTTATTTTTCCTCTTTTTCTCCTTTACATTTTATTTCTCCTCTTTTTCCCTTTACATTTTATTTCTCCTCTTACATTTATTTCAGATTCTCAAACAGCTTTTATACTACTCTATACCATCAATCTATTAATCATTCTTTTCAAAGTAGTAGTCTAAATCATACATATTAATCATTTCAATATAGAACATCAAGAGCATCAAAATCTTCCTTGTTCCCCTTTACGTAGTTAGACAATATCTGATTTCTGTAAGCAAACCTCATTGTTCTAAAAATGTCACATTAACCTTAAAACATAATTCTAAATCTTAACTCCTATTTCTACCTTCACCTATTATTTTCTATAGATTCATTAATCACAACATGTACCTAAACATTATTTGCTATGGTAACTGACAACACAGTTGTTTCTCATGATTGATTAAACAAGAAAAACAAGAAGCATCAAGTTTTGTAGTTAAGAAGAAACGGAACAAATTCCTTATAAAAACTTCTCTATGCAAAACTACCAGCTGCTCTGCGGGAGAAAGATGAGGCTTTCTACTCCTGTAAAGATTTACACCCTCGGAAACCCTGTACAGGGTCACTATGGGTCGGAACCGACTCGACGGCACTTAACAACAACAACAACATGCAAAACATCTAGTTGAATTTCTGCTTATGATCTATTACTATTCCCTTAGCCCTAAATTGCATTTTTAGCTAATTTTCTAGAGGTCTTGATGTCCCTGACTGAAACTACACAGAATGTTGAATGTAATCTTAAACTTGACCTGGCAAAAACTTTAGCTGGTTTTTCCTAGTGGTGAAACTTATTGTAAGTGTGAAAAGCATTCGTTAGGACTACACATGATTGAATATGGTATGAATGTGCCTAAAAACAAGTTTCAGATATTTAGTATGATTCTTACTAAGATTTTACTGAAAACTTTTATTATAAAATCAAGAAAATTAAAAATAAGCTGATTAAAACAAAGAGACAGAAACTGCAGAGATCCCTCCTCGGGGCCTTGCCTTCCAAGGGGAGACTCATTGTGGCCTTACTTAACAATGAGCACTTCATGCTTAGGGTCCTCTGCTGCTCTGCTAAATGTATTATACCAGATGTTGCTAAAGCTCTGTCTGACTTTTGAAAGATCAGACTCACTGCGCTAAAATCTATTTTGTTACTTGTAAATTTGAAGATATTTACAGAATATATAGTTTTTGTTGGTTTATATTTAATGAATGATAAATAGATAGATAGCATTTGCTCTACCTTGTTAGGGCTCATGTCTAAATAGCAATGATTTTTATGTCTTTAAAATATTTCTGTTTAGAGTTACTTACTCTTTCTCCTCTCTGCCTTATTCCTTGGAACCCCTCCCTGTGGTAGGGTCAAGCTTTGGAGCAAGCCATTATCAGTCAGAAACCACAGCTGGAGAAGCTCATTGCTACCACCGCCCATGAAAAAATGCCCTGGTTCCATGGGAAAATCTCTCGGGATGAATCTGAGCAGATTGTCCTAATAGGATCAAAGACAAATGGAAAATTTTTGTAAGTATTGTGTTGTTCTCTCCTATCTCCCTACCTCAAGACCTGTTTGAAAGTTGAAGCTTCTAATTACTGAACTCCCAGTGACCCTAGGGGGAGGGAGTTATGTACTATCATGTGACCTGCTGTGGAAACTCTGAACAGTAGCTATCACTGGTAGGTTACAGCTTGTATTTCACTTAGTCTGACCCTAAAGTGAAAACTGCTGCTCAACTGTTCCAAAAACAAAAATATAAGTTTTTGTCTTTATCAATATATTTAAAGAATTTTCCATAGACTTTACCACAATATCTCAGTAAGTTAAAAATAAAATTATCTTAAAACTCAATACTGTCACTCCTTTTCTATCAGTATGGTTGATTGTAAAGAACAGGATATGAAAATCAGTTTTTGATAAAATGGAGGATGACTATATCATTACACAACTGACACATTACATCATGACATAAGTGGCAAACCACTGTGAATCACAATCCAGGCAAGTTAACATATAACCGTAACCATCACAGACAACATTACTCTTGCCTTGCTCCTAGGCATATGTTACTGCCAGACATGTGTCCTTAACGTGCAGAATACTTACATAATAGAGTTCTTACTATTGTGTATTTGAAATGTCAGGTAACAAGATAATATGTGAGGAGTCAATATATTCTTTTTTAAAAAGTGGTCGTAAAAACTAACAAGCAGAGCAGGTTGACACTGCAGTGACTAGAATGATGGTTTAATGGATCTGGTGGGAAGGAAAAACATTGTAGTCCTTAGTGTATGCATCTGCCAGCTCTTTTTCCCTAAGGTCTAGATATTTTCTTAGCAAAAGTTCCCAAAACAAATTCCATGGGACTGCTTACATAGCTCTTTGGAAAATATTGTATAATCAGCAAAGTGACTAAGGCCTCCTGAGTTCTCACAGGCTAAGAGGTTTGCTGTTATGTTCTCTGAGGAACAGCTGCTTGTCATGAACCTATTTTTCTGAGTTACTGTCTTTGGCTGGTTTTCTAGAAAAGAAAAACCAGTGAAAAATATATTTATATGAGTACATGTATGCGTATGTATGTATAGACATATATATGTGTGTGTATTGTGTATATATATATATTTATTTATAAAAAGAGTCCTGGTGTGGTACTGTGGGTTAATGCACCAGACTGCAAAGCCATTTGAACTGCAAGATTAATAGTTCAAGCTCACCAGCTGCTCCTTGGAAACCCTATACAGGGTCGCTATGGGTCGGAATCGACTCGACAGCACTTCACAACAATATATACACACACATGTATATATACGTATGTTGTTGTGTTGTTGTTAAGTGCCATCGAGTCGGGTCCGACCCATAGCGACCCTGTACAGGGTTTCCGAGGGTGTTGTAAATCTTTACGGGAGTAGAAAGCCTCATCTTTCTCCCGCGGAGCGACTGGTAGTTTCGAACCGCTGACCTTAAGGTTCGCAGCCCGATTCGTAACCACTACGCTACCAGAGCTCCTTCCATATATATACATATATATATACATACATATATACATATATATATAATGACTATATATATACATACACACACATGTATATGTATATACATATACACACACACATATATGTATATATATAGTCATTGAGTGCTGTTGAGTTGATTCTGACTCATAGCAACCCAGTATAGGGTTTCCAGGGAGTGACTGGTGAGCTTGAACTGTCAGCCTTGCAATTCAAACCAACTTTTCAGTCCAGCACATTAACCCACAGTGCCACACCAGGACTCTAGATAGATAGATAGATAGATATAGATATGGATATAGATATAGATATGTTGTTGTCATTAAGTGCCGTCGAGTCGGTTCCAACCCATAGCGACCCTGTACAGGGTTTCCGAGGGTGTAAATCTTTATGGGAGTAGAAAGCCTCATCTTTCTCCCACGGAACCGCTGGTAGTTTTGAACTGCTGACCTTGTGGTTCACAGCCCGATTCGTAACCACTATGCTACCAGAGCTCCTTAGATATAGATATAGATATATTGATAGAGAGAAGTTTATTATCAAGGAAATGGCTTACAATTGCAGAGTCCCAGATCCTCAGTGAAAAAGAGAAAGAGAGCCTTTCCTGCACATCCATTATATTGGGATCAGACTATACCCTTCAAGGACACATCCCTTCAATTGATTGGCTGCTCATAGCCACTTATCATAGAATTAACAAAATCTGTATTCAGTTTCATCACTATGGGAATAAGTACACTCAACTGCTAAACCTCTGGAAATCCTGTCCTAGTCATATTGACACAAAACCCTAACAATTACAGTCCCCCATTGTCAACTTGACACCTATAAACTATATGCATAATCTCTACATAAAGCAAATTGTAGTTATATTTGCACCTAACATAATATAACTAAAACTCATACAACCAAAAATGCACTGGCCCCATTTTATCTTACATGCTGCAAATGAACAAAGCAAAAATATTTGATGTACACATATAAATCAAAACAAAAATTATATATTCATTTAATGCCCAAAAGACACATTCTGCAAGCCTGCCTCCTGCTCATAAGCGTACAGACCCGTGGCTGCTCTATTTCTCTATGCCATTGCCTCTGCTACTGCTGCTTTTCCAGGTGGAGATCCCGCACTCCACTCATGTTCTTCCTCAATGATGGTTCTGGGATCATCTGTTCCTGAAATGAGAGATAACTACACCCCCCTTTTATTTACACATCTTCTACAATTATACTTTTGACAATAGCAATTAATCTTATTAACAATTATGACTGAAATAATAAAATCCTATCAACATCATCCCCCACCTCCTTTTACTAGACCTATCTGGAAAAGAGGAAATCTGTTCAGTGGGGGTACTCCTTTGTCCCCTCATTCTAAAATTAAACATACCCATGAATTTTTGTAAGGCAGCCACTTTATAGACCCCCATCCCTAATTTTTCATAGCCAAGAGCTAAACTACCCATCCCTATCCAGAATACCAAGGAGATCTGAAGACTCTTCCATTCCAGTTGGAATTTTGAGCAACTGCATCCATAAGCAAAAGTCCAGTCCAACAAATTGTAGCACTTGACACTTGCTCACCATATCAAACATCTTTATCTTCATCTGGTCAGATTCTGGTCCCAACTCAGCCATAGCTATTCAAGCTAGGTCAAATGGGTACCAGCTGCAAAGCTGGGAGTTCATACACACATCCCTGTACTTCAAACCAGCTGGCCCGTTCACTGTCATCCATGTAGTTCCCAGTGGCTATGTCAGTGCCTGTGGGCTCAGGAATTCACACACATCCCTAAACTTAAGACCAGTCAGCCTTCCAGCAACTCTTATCTCACGGTCAACGCATGCCAATAGAACAAGCCCAAACTCAGCCCCTGTCATCATTGCTGCGTTTTTCCCACTCCTTCTCACAATTATACCCACGTGGTCTCCAGCGCATAAGACTCACCAGTTCCCTTTAACTTTCAGTCCTAGAAGATTTTCTCTGATAGACTGAAACTCAAACTGCCAAACTGTCAGATTTTTCTTTACTTTCTTTCAATCAAGAATCTCCTATTTCAGCAGTTCTGGGTTGGTCTATATGTCATTTCAAATGCAAATATACCATTTCTGAAGGTTCTGGATTCCACTTAAGGCTCCATGCTCTACAAAGGCTTAAACCAAAAAGCCTATTGTTTCCTGGAAAATTTCTAATTCCCCTTTTAGCAAATTCAATCAAGTATAGGCTGATGGCAGATTTATAAGATCTCTGTAAGCATAATTTCTAATATTAATTTCTATCTCACATGTATGTGTATTTAACAGTAGTAGGCAGTAGACACCAAATCCAAAAAGCAGTAAAAAACACGAACCTTTTAAAAACACTCAAGTTCAATCTTTTCTTCTACCTTAGATTAATCCCATTCATATGTATATAGATTTCAGCCTCTGATAGGGTGGATTCCAGTAGGCCTTCACCCCATTATCACCACTCTAGTTTAACCAATTTGCCATCAACTCCAGACAACTTCAGAAGCAGCAGCTCTCCCTTTACCTTGAATATGTTATCCCTCACATTAGAAACCCTATACAGGGTCACTGTGAGTCAGAACCAACCGACTCCATAACACTTCACAGCAACATTCATTTCAGCCATTGTTGTTGTTAAGTCCCATCAAGTTCTTTGGGACTCAGAGGGACCCTGTATAGGATTTCCAAGGAGCAGCTGGTGAGTTTGAACCTCTGACTTTGTGGTTCAAACTGACCTTGCAATCCAATGTTTATTCTACAGTGCCATACCAAGTATTACTCAGACATTACAGGTAGAAAAATACAAAACTTCATACTTTCATGAATTTGCAGCCATTGCAATAGATCCTGCTCCAGAAGGCAGCGCTTAAACCAAGTGGGAACCATGTCTGACTTTCTCTGACTCCACAAAGAGAAAAGGGAACCAAACTCAAAATCATCCTGTTAGAAATAAGTCCCAATTTGGCAAACAGACACTTGGTGAAACCAAAAGTGTCTCAGCAAGGCAAAAATTTACTTCTGCAGAAGGGTACATAGTGCTACAGGAACAAACCAGCAAGCACAACTGGTGGGCAGCCTGCTTGGGTTTTATCCCTGACTCAAGGCTGTGTCTCACATTATTGGTTAGGGTTTTGACTGCACAGTCTTATCTTTACCTGATTGGCTAATTTGAACTGTGCTTGGAGGGAGTGGGTTAAGGCTTGAGAAAGTTTGGAATGTCTTTGTTCCAGGAGGTGATAGTGCCAAGAACTGGTTTTGGACTAGTTCACAGTATGAACACAAGAACAGAGGAGTTTCCCTAAACAGCCTCAAAATGGACTAGAACCAAGCTTATTCTATTTTGACTCCTACCCTTTGAAGGGAAGTCATTTGTGCTCCTTTTTCCCACAAGCCCAAGGCTGATTCCCATGAAGTGGAGATCAGACATGCCTTTACCCTCTATCAGTGCCTTTAAAATTAGTCAGACTTGATTACCAATATAGAACTCATTCTTGTAGTTTTGT